CAGGACAAACAGTTACCTGCCCTGCCCAACACATTACTCCATTTTAAAAGAACTTCCACACTGAACCAATTTCTCCAATAGGAAAAAAAAAATAAAAATACACCAGTTTGACCTGAGCGCAGCCAGGGACCAAACAGAGACTCTGTTGCTCTGATGGTGCCACAAAGAGAGTGTCCTTTTTTTGTTGCTATCTCCCAAGCCTGTGGGCTACGACGGGGCGCAAAAATGGGAATTTTTTTCACCACTCTGGGCCTGAAACACAGTTCAGTGGGAAACAGCAGCACTTTCATCCGGGAGGCATCATATTATAGCTACGGGGACGGGAGAAAACCCCTCTCCCCAGTCTTGCAACTGGAATAATGATCCATTATTCGATGGGACGGGACAGGAAAGGATGGGGTGTCTGGTTTTCTGCTGCAGAGAAAGGTCACCTTCGAACCAAGGGACCGAAGGCGTCCACCCCACAAGTGAAAGCAGAAAAACTAAACCCACCAGCCTACATGCGGGATCTCAGGTGCTCCATCCAGGGTTGGGCAGAATAATTAAAATTGAATTTGACTCCCAGGTGGACCTTGGACACATCGGTGAGTTTTCTTGGGCACAGCATGTTCTGGACAGTTTTTCCATCTTCCAAATCTAGCCTATGGCTCTGGGACCTGGTTGCACCTGCGTTTGCAACATTTATCCATTAATTAAAATTAATGATAGTATGCAACGTGGGATGCTGAAGACTGCCTTCTTCCACCTGTCCGTGGCCATTTCCCTCCTTACTGGGATCAGGAGAAACAGGAAGAACAAGAGACATTTGCACAAACAGGTTCCCCAAGGAGAGCAAGCGGAGACATGAAAAGATTATTAAATACATTTATATCTCTCTTCCCACAAGCAATCTCCATGCTGTTACTCAAACCCACATTTAAAACATTGGTATAAAAGACAATTGAAAAGGGTCAAAAACAGCCCATTTACAAGGCACTCAGAAAGCCGGGCAAAGAGGGAGGCATTTAACAGGCACCCCAAAGGGTAAGTGCACGCACCCCACAGATTTCAAGCAGCCCCACTGAAGATGCTCACTCGTTGGCGATCGCAAGGTGATGCTCTGGTTCTCAATGCGTGGGTAAAAATCTCAGGTCTTTGTAACAGCGGAGACGGGCAACCAGGTAGTCTGTCCCAAAGTTATCATACAAAATAGGACCTTGTGGCCCCCCCTTCTTGAAGCCTGATCATCTAACACTATTCTCCAAAATCATCCCCCAGGTTAGAAGAGGAGCCACTGTCAAGCGCCCCCAACTCCGAGAGACAATCCAGGACGTTGTGCTCAATGGCCTCTGAAGCTGCCAAGACCCCCTCTGACCCACGTTCTCCCCCCCCACACCGACCCCAGGAGGTCCCATCACTGGATCATCTTCTAAAGTCAGGCCAGAACGCCGTTTACACCTTTGCAAAGTTTTCCAAAGTACCCATCACTCTCAAGTTTTTGATTTTTAATACTCAAGTTCTTGCAAGTAAACGCTGGATTTTATTTTGACGCCGTCCTTTTCCTTGTTAGAAGTATCTACGTTACTTCCATCTAAGCTTTGCAAGTGTTATTACATAACTAATATACTTTTCTGGTTGGGGACTGTAATAAAGGTGTTCTGTTACTTACCCCGGGAGAAGAACAGAGGCCCTGTTCATTTTGAGGTGACAAGCTTTCTGACCAGAGGAGTCCTCTCTTTGGTGACCCTGAACTTGCCAGAAGCTGTTTTGCGGAACCAACTTTCCACATACATTGCCAAGCCCCGCAAACCATATAAGTGTGTTCTCTTCATGCCTTACTCTCGTTCTGCCTCCAGATTTCTCTACCCAAAAGGGATCTAGTTGGCTAAAGTGCTTCAAATAATCATAACCTTAAAGTATTCGTTCCTTAGCATCCCCGAGGGATCAGTCTTTCCTGATCCCATCTTCTTGGACTCCAGCAGTTCGAAGCAAAAAGGCTCTCCCCCCAAGAAAAGATCTGCTGCGTTTGAAGGCAGAAAAATACAGATATCCTTGAAGAACCAGAAAAGGGTGACTTAGTTTGGAAGCAGCCAGAGAACATCCTTGGGGTTTAGTGCTATGGCACAAAGACCAGACCTGTAAGGTGACACTCACATAAGCAGTATCGATTGTTCCTCTTTTGGGATTCACAGCCCCCCTTGCACGACAAAGTGCGCAACACCAAACCAGTGCTGGTCGTACTTCTTCATGGGCTGGTGCTCAACCAAGTTGTGAAGAGATGGTTGGAGAGATACCGGGAGGCTGACGAAACACTGGCAGTGGCTTATGGCAAGAGAGGAGAGGAAGAGGGAGGTGGATGAGGATCTGTGCAGCATTGCTCAGGGCAGCCAGGTGGGTAAAAAGATCTACTCGAACACTGTTTTTTCCTGGGGTAAAATGCTGGACTCCAGTTGGATGAAGAGGGCTAAAAAACAGAGAGAGGGAGAAGGAAAACCGTGCTGTTCAGACACATCTAGGCTGAGAAAATAAACATATCCCGTTACCTAAACATGAGTCAGGCAACCCCAGTCTATCTACCTCTCTTGATCTAACCAAGACTTCTCAAAAGCCTTGGGCCACCCTGCCTGGAATTCTGGGAACTGTAGGCTGGAGGGCACCAGGTGGGATTGAAGCTGCCTGTTCAAGAGGGGAGACCAAACTGGAACCTGGAGGTCTGAATCGAGGGTCTCTTGGTTCTCAGCTCTGAGGTTAAGCCGGGATGTCATGCCCCGTTCCCCTCTGTGGAGCAACCCCTTTCCACCAAAGGCATCTGTTTCCCTCTCTAGCGGTCAGTACTCTTGATCCCATCTCTCCTGCACTCTCCAGGACACAGGGAGCGTGGGAGTATTCCTTCTACTCCCCATTTCTCATGTGGGGCAGTCTTCCGCAGCTTGACATCCTCCAAGGGGCTAGAACATAACCTTCGTGGGAAGAGAGACCCAGGGAGGTGTCCTCAGCCCAATAGATGTGGATTTTGGCGGGGATCTGCTTCCCAGAACCCAGGAAAAACGAAGAGGTTAAATCCAGAAGGGTACTTGCTGCAGCCGCCAAAGGTGAAAGGAGTCACTCACCAGTGGCTTCTGCATGGAGGATCTGCCTGTCTGCGCTCCGGATTTCGCCGCTCACAAAGATCTTCCGGCCCTCGATCTTATCCAGCCTGCTTTCTGCCAAGACCACAGAGCCCAGCGCAACGGGGCTGAAAGAGGGGAAAAGAGGCTTATTGTTACTTTTTTCCTCCCCATTTCATTAGGAGGCTGAGAGACTCACTTTTGAACAAAAGGAAGACCAAAAAAAAGGAAGAAACCCCCCCGCCCCACAATAACCCGGTCAGAATTGGTGCCATGAAGAGCAAGAGCTCACACACACGGCCCATTCTGACTCGCCCACCTCAGTGTTTCTCCTGTTCTTAAGGCACTTACTTCTTATAGTTTATGGAGAGGTTAGCGGTTAGCACCCTGCGGTTGACGCAGATGGCACACCCCCCCAGCGTGCTGTCGAGAAGAGTGGCAAGGGAACCACCGTGGGCAAATCTTGGAGGCAAAAAAAAAAAAAAAATCAAAGTGAAAAACTAGCCAAGGAGGGAGCAAAGGGAGTTGACAAGGCCAGTCACAAAAGTGATGTTTTTCAACCTCACAGGAACCAGGGCGGGGAGGCTGAACTCCATTGGACTCCCCTTCAAAAAGGAATCGAAAATGCCGGAGAAAGTGTCTCGTGGCAGCAAACTATTTTAAAAGATTCTAAGCCAGGAGAAAAGAGATCCAATGGATATCAGCAAGTTATTTAGCAACGGACTGCCAAGTGAGCAGTTGAACCCAACCGCTGTCAGGGAGGCTCTATGCCCAAAGGAGGAAACTCCCACCCCCAGACATTTGGACAATGAGGGAGAATGAATAGGACTTGGGATAGGATGCTGGTTTCATCAGTTTAAATCTAGGTCTTGTTTTTCACTAGCAAGACCAACTTTTCCCCAATTGGAGACATTCGGCACGGAGTTGCTGGGAGCTGAGCGTAACGCTGGGAAGCAGCTGAGGGCAGAATTTTAGTCTGAAGCTTCAGCTCTACAGAAAGATTAAGAGTCTTTACAAACTGGAAAATTAGGAACTTTTTTAAAGGTTACCCTGAAGGTCCTTCAAGATAGGGCCCCAACTGGGACAGACACACCATTCTTTTCTCCGTAGCATTCAGAAACATCACGTACTCGAACCCCATGCCTTCCTCGTCGATACTTCTGAGAAAGAGGCGGTTTCTTCGTTTTTGTAATTCGCACCTCTCGTGCCCTTCTGTGGAAGTAGCAAAAGCCAACCTCAGCAGGCGCCAGATACCGATTTTTAAACTTATTGAGTTTAGAGGCCTGCTAAAGGGGACAGTGGGGATGAAACAGCTTGGAGGGTGGGGTGAGAAGAGACCGAATAATCTGGATTGGGCTCTGCTCTGTTCTGCCCTTCAAATGCCGTTAAGGGAAATTGTTTAAATCTGCCACACTCAATCCATAAGCTCAGCAAGGCCAAATGTGTAGGACTGATCAACGGGCAGGAATGCCCCCCCAAATTTCCTGGGCGACCAACAACACTAGAGTTATTTTCCAATGGAGGCTCACCGAAACCTTAGCCCTGTTTCTTCGGGAAGCAGAAATCAACTTCTATATAAAACTGGGCTTCAGGCAGTCATTGACAGAGCAGAGAGACAGAAGGAAGCAAATCATTCACAAGAAAACAAGCTTTCAACGGTGGTACCCTGTGTTTCTTTAAAAAAAATTGCTGATATGATAACAACGTGCAGATACTGAGGGCGCCGCTTTGCATATGGAAAGAAAAGGAAGTTAGGGATCTTGCCTGGAAAATGCTCGTAGAAACTCCTGTAAGACGGCAGCTTCTGCCAGCTTCCATCTTTTGTCATCTCGATGTATCGGTTGAAATGGTGGAGCATCTCTTGGCTCCAGCTAGAATTGGGAACCGCACGATCTATGCTGTTCTCTGATGGAGTCAACCAGATCTGAAAGACGGAAGGTGGAGATTATGGGTTGGTAAAACAACTGCAGAGGGGAAGAAGGGGTGACCGGATCTAAACTCAACCACTACAAGAGTGCCTCGAATTTCCTAAGCGAGGCTGCTCCAGTTCAACCGTGGTTATTTGAAAAAGATGTAGCAGCTTGGGTCACCCACTAAACACGGTTTAGAAGCTACAAGAGCTGAACGGACACAGGTGAGCAGAACACGCCCACCGAGCTACAGCGCTTGTGGGAACGGGTCAGGGTGAAGCCTGAGTGTATGTGGAAACAGCACAGGAAATCCGTGACAGATCAAAGTTATTCCCCAAACCGAGGAAAATGTTCTCAGGGTTGGCTGGGGAAAGGTCGCACGCTCGGCAATCCTTTGACCCTCGCTACAGAGCTCCCCTGTACCTTGTGGGAAGAATGACGGAGGACCCCCGTGGGGGTAACTGCGGCCTGCACCCCACTTCTAGGGGCCACGAAGCCAGGAAGGGCCCTGCTTAGCCTCGCCCAGCTCCTCAGCATGATTGTGCAATGCCGGGCACCCACTTCTTGGCAGCGCAATTCAGCCCTCTATCCGGGTGACCGCGATGCCGTGGAGGAAAGGCCCGCGTTGGGGGCGGCACCTGTCGAAAGAATGTGGGTTACAGTTTGACCACTGCTGTCCTGGATCCAGGTTTAGTCTTGTAGCCCAAAGGACACCTGTCCTCCCCGCAACTTAGCTGCCCGCCCCGGTGGCCACATCCCCCATCTCCCCCAGCCAATACGACAGATGCGGCGGTTGTGGGGCTGAAGGGACCGCAGTCCAATATTAGGAGCAGGGCCGTGTTTTGGGAGGGGAGGCCCGTCCTACGCCAGAAAAGGGTGACCGGTGAAGGTCAAGAAGCGCCGTCAGCGATTGAGCCACCGGCGGCCTGGGAATAAATAAATACTGTAAGCTGGGTCTGACCTTCAGCCCCTTCCAGGCCCCTCTGATGTTCATTCATTCATTCATTCCTGGGTCCCCCCCGGCTTTCCCCACCTGTTTCAGCCCGGTGGGGCGGCTGAGGGGGGCGAAGGAAAGGCGAAACGCCCCATTTGGGGCTTGAGGAGGATTTCTGGCTCTGCCACGATGTGAAGGACTGACTGGGCTGCCTGTAGCTGCGGCAATGAACGTCATGCCGTTAAATCTGTCCTAATTTCTAGACTGCTTTTACTATTACATACATATATATATGTATATGTATGCGTGTGGGGTGTGTATATGTATGCATGTATGTATGTATTGCCTCACATTATGGCTCCTGCACCATTTTTGTGCCTGCTAAATTCAGCCACGAATTACAAAAAAAAAAAGAAATACAAATTTTAAACTCCTATTTACCGGTTTGCCCCATTTATGAGCCGCCTTCGCCGCCCTGAAACAATAAAAATAACGGGGAAGCCCCGAGGAACGGCGACGGCTACGGGAAGGGGGCGAAGCTGGCGAAAGCCCCCTTTCAATGGGCAAAACACTCGCCTCCGGGCGAGCCCCGTCGAAAAGCCCACCCGGCCCACCTCGCAGGGCTGTTGTTGCAGCTCGCGCGGGAGGAGGGGGCGCCTGGGCACCCCGGAGGGAGGGGCGGGAAGTCACCCGCCAGCGCGACCTCTGCCCTTTCCCCCGGCCCCTCACCGCGTGACCTCTGACCTCCACCCGTCCCCGCGCGCCACTGACCTCCGCTGCCCTCGCCTCCCAAAGGTAAAATGACCGCGAGAAGGACCCGGCTATTGACGTCACCCGAGGGGCGTGGCCATGCGTAACGGTGCTCGCGCGACAGTCTCGTCTTGGCCGGGCGGGTCTCGACGCATGCACGCCGCGCTGTTCGCTCCGCCCCTTCCGGCGCGAGGCGTCACAGCGAGCGGCCGTTACGTGAGGAATTGCCTCCTCGGCTCATGGCGAACAACTTGATTTCTCCTTTGGCGCGATTTATTCACCCGCTCCCATGCGCGCGGCCCTTGTTTGGCTCTGGGGCCTGTCAATCAAGTCGAAGGATCCAACGGGGCGTCGTCCCGCCTCCCCAGTTCCGCGGGCTCACCTGCTTCGCGGCTTGGATTGGGCCTCAGAAGTGCCAGTCCGGCCCAAAAGCGCGTCGCTCGCCTGCAGCAAGAGCTGCTCCAATGACATTTCAGCTCGAGCCTTTCCTGAGCACTCCCCGCCTGCCATTGGATAATCCGAACGCCAATCTAGCGTGGCGTGACGAACCACGCCCCAGCCTTGCAAATCAAGCCTCAATCCTTCCTGACTCATCCAGGTGCTTACGTAACCCAACGTTTTCTCTGATTGGCCCAGGGGAGTGTCAATCGCAACCCGGGGGTCACCTCCCCTTTTGCAGAGCAAACACTTTCTTGCTAAGGAGGAGCCCTTTGCACGTGCTCAGAGGTCCAGAGCCCTCGTTTAAGGCCATTCTGGAGCCTGAGTGCTTCTGTGCATGGGCGGGGTCCCCTCCCCAAAGGGAAAGGCGTCCCCTGAGCATGTGCAGAATCCCCCAAGGAAACCACCCACCAGGAAACCACAAAAAACAGCTTTTTAAGCAGCGGGGAGGAAGAACCTGCACGAGAACATGGCGTCACCGCCGCCTGGAACCGTCCCCAGTGAATCATCCGAGGGAAAAGCACAAAGCCCCGTCTGGTGCCAACAACATCAGCGCCGCATGCGTTGCGGCCTGAAATTGCAAACGGGCCCTGCCCCGCTGCAGGCTGGCAAGATGCTGGCGTGCCCTGGCACCGCCGGCCAAGGGAGAGAAAGCTCTGCAGATGGAAAGCAAGCCTCTCAGGGAGCTGCCTCCGCCCCATTTCTGACATGCTGGTTTTCTACATGTGAGGATTTTTTTTTTTAAAGTAGCAGAGATGGACAAGAGAAGCCCCTTGGCTATTGGTGGAAGGGCCCCTCGGACAGAGAAGAGACTCCTTTGCAGCTTTGCATGCCGGGGAGGGGCCGGTGCCCCACGAAGGGTCCGCGCTGGGCCTTTTTTGCCGCTTCCTCAAGCGCTGCAGAATTCATCCGCAGCCAAAGTGAGCATGGCTCCTTCCTTTCTTCATTGCGGGGGGCCTTAAACGATGCTCAGGGGTGGCCAGACCAACACTGCTGCCCTCGGCGGAAACAACGGGGCCGAAGCCTCAACAGTCACGACGCCCCTGCGGGGTGGGCGGTCTGTTGGAGCACGCAGCTCGTGCCCGTCCGAACCTTTGAAGGACGTAAGGGCGAGGCCTTCCCTGCCCCGTTTAAAAATGCAAATTATTACATTGGGTTGACGCTGGGCGTCCGGAATGCAACGGATGCGTGGAATGTGTGAACGTTAGCCTTTATTTCTTCAATTCATGCAGCCGCCTCCCTCCCTGGGCAGGAATTCAAACCCGAGACCCGCTCGGCTGCAGCTTGGCCTCAGTCCCACGGTATTACATTTTCAACCCTGGCTCCCTTTGTCCTTCGCACCAGCCTCGCCTTCCTGCAGATTTGCGCATTCCTGCACCCTCCAGCTGAAGACGCGTGCCCCGATATCCATTGGCCACACCCCAAAAGTCCCTCTTGCCCTTCTTAACCCCCCTGAAAAAGGACCCGCTCTGGAGAAGGCGTGATTTTGAATTCGGAGTAATGCAAAGCAAGCAGGAAGGATTGTTCTTTTAAACAAACCCTCGGTTGTTATCTGTCCCGTGCACGGAAAAGGCCAAGACCTTCTCTCCCATCTGGGAATCTTCTCCCAGCCCAACAAATGATGATTACGGGCGTTTCCATGTCTGACGTCAAGGACTTTTGGCCCAAGCCCCAGGGGCCGGAAACACGGAGGGGAACGAATCCCACCCCCCGAAGCCAGAAAATTGGCCTTCTGTCTTTCAAAGCCTGCCCCAACTTGTGAAAAGTCACAAGTGTGGATTTGATGGGCTTGATTGAAAGGCTCCCCGGTCCCCTGCGATGAGAAAGCAGTGGATTTCGTATTTGCAAACTTTCCCCTTCTGCTCCCCCTCCCCAATATTTTCATTTTTTAAAGCCTTTCCAGAGTTGCTATGGAGCTGGGCGGTCTTGATGTTGAAATCAGAAATCAATAAAAATACAAAGTCCTGCCCCAAAACCGTAACAGGAGAGTGGCAGGAGGTCCGATATGCTGCCAGCTGAAGCCTGTAAAAGGAGATGAAAATATTGCAAAATTCCCGGGCGTGGGGTTTGTGCCATGGGGCAAAGCACCCCAACGATTGATTTATTTAAAAAAAATTTCTACCACACCCCGATTAAAAAATAAACATATCTTCCCCTAAAAGTGGTTCTGATCAGATCCACGCACCTTTCCCAGGATTACAGCATTATTTTCCTGGGTGGGGGGGGAGCCTCTGTTCCCTCCCACCCTGTATTGGCTCATATTGGTTTGAAAATATCCTGGATTAGGCACACGATCAGGGTTTGATGCCCGGGGTTGCTCGAATCTTTCGAGCCCAGGGCAGACGTCTTTCTGGACAAATTCCATTACCTCTTACAGTTACTGGAGTTTTATTAATAGTAACAATAATGGAATAGACACGCCGATACAAAAAAAAATGTTTTATTTTTTGGCCGAGGACACAGCATAAGGAAAAAGTAAGCGTATTTTCTGGTGGAGACTGGGTGGTCTCTGTGTGTAGCTGGTTTTCACAATTTTATTAGGGGTTAGATTCTCCTCTACGTTGTCAGCTCGGGTTGTTAGGCCTACGACAAGGTGGGTCACTTCGAAGCAGAACGAACTGGCTTTGGATGGGGAAGCGGGCAGGCGGGTTGGGTGGGCTCGGCGGGCACCGCTGCAGCTCTCGAGGCCCGGCTGTGCCACCATGCGCCGTCAGTGTTTGGGAAGAGCAAGCTGTGCCTCCTCTGCTTAGTACTTCTTCCCCGTTGGTTTCATTTTCTTGATATAATACTCGTTGCACCCGTTGGTCAGCCCGGCGAAGAGAGACAGGTAGCCCTCGAAGCTGATTTTGCCATCTCGGCACTCCTCCAGGTTCTTCATGATCCGGTCGATGGCCATGGGGTCCTTCTGGTTCTAGAAGTGGGTTTTAAAAAAGCAGAGGAGGGGGGGGTCATGATGGAGAAGGAGAAGATGTGAAGGAGGATGAGCAGATGATCATGATGGAGAAGAGGAGGAGGATGAGAGAATCATGATGGAGGAGAAGGAGAAGATGAGATGATCATGAAGGAGCAGGAGCAGGAGAAGATGAGATGATCATGATGGAGGAGAAGGAGAAGATGAGATGATCATGATGGAGGAGATGATGAGAAGGAGGATGAAGAGATTGTCATGATGGAGGAGGAGGAGATGAGAAGAAGATGATGAGGGTGAGATGATCAAAATGGAGGAGGAGGAGGAGAAAAGGAGGATGGAGGAAGAGAAAGAGGAGGAGGAGAAAGAATTTTTAAAATGTGTGTTCATTTTATGGGGACAGTTCTCTCCAGGGATGGTTCTCAGGAGGACCAACCACCATCCCTTCTATTTCTGAGCTCCAGAAGGCAGCCCAGACCACACCACCCCTGCCCACCAGAGATAAGAACGGCCTTGGAGCTGTGCATATTTATCCGGCAAAGAAGAGGATTCCAGACAGGTTGGAATCTCAAGGTGCTAGACCTGGGCGAGGAAGGTTTTCTTCTCTTCCTTCATTCTGAAGATGAGAAAGATGCCCTCTTACTGAAGCCAACAGGAGGGTGGTTGAACATCTCAGGATATTCATCCTGAAATCCAGGGGAAGCAGAACCTACAGCGGGCGCTGTTGGGAGGACCCAAATACGAGCTTCTTGCCCACCTGATTCTCGAAAGCTTTGCATTCTGGGAAAAAAACCACAAAAAATCCCCCTGTCCCTCCTCAATCTCTGTATTTTCTCACTCACTTCCATGTATCCTGGAACCTCCTTTTCCATCAGCTGCCGGAGATCGTCTTTTGTTAAGTAGTTCTTTTCGCCGGCAAATTTATGGAAGGTGAACATGACTGTTTCCATAGCGTGCTCCAGCTGGGATGGCATCTTGGCGGGGATCTAAGGAAGCAGAGCAAGTCTAAGGAAGGAACAAAAGAGTGTGGTTGGTTTTTCTCCCCCCATCAAATCAGGGGGGCTGGAGAAGTTTGCACAGAATAGACCCAACCCTTGTTCCCCTGGAATTTTAGGACCACCATATCCCTGTCTTGAACCCAGTCCTAATCTGGAGCAAAGGCTATTGAGCAGCGCAGAGCCGAATGGATAGGACTGCGTCATAAAAGGCGTTCGCGTTCCAACTGCCAAGCCTGGATGTATCATGCAAACTGAGGGAGCATGCAGATTTTGCCCTTTTTTCTTTATAAAAACAAACCCTTTGCATCCTCTGAATCAATCCTCGGAAGGTCACCGAACACCAAGTTCCTCCCTCGGCAGTTGGGTTCCCGCATCTCTGACTGCAGAAAGATCTCTGCCACAATAGGGACTAGAAACCTGGTTTCGTTTCGGAAGGGTAACGCTCCCCTTTGGGAACCGCGCCAACGTCTCCTCCCTCCCCTTTCCAAATTCTGTTCCTCTCCCCTTCCTTCCACGTTCCTTCCACAAAACCGCTGCGAAACATCGATGCGACCCGTTGTAGAGACAGAGGGGCCTGGCTGTGGGCGGTCGTAACTCAGGGACCCACCCACCTCTCACATTCCTCCCCTCGCTGGCTGGCAGGAGGGATCGTTCTGTGCTTGCTTTCTTTGGGAAAGAGTCAAAGGATCCACCCGTTTCTAAGCTGCTGGGGGCCTTCTGGACGGCAGAAAACCGAACGGCCGCGTCTGACGTTGGGCAAAGCTCATCCTGACCAT